ATGATATTATCTTCTATAATAAAACATTCAAAAATTTTAATGTATGCCGATGATGTGAAAGTTTTTAAAACATTGTCCTCTATCGAAGAAAGGTCTTTGTTACAAGCGGATCTGAACAACGTGGTTAGTTGGTGTAATGCAAACTATATGCCACTAAACCTTCAAAAATGTAAAGTTATGTGTTTCTCTCTCTCTCTCTGGAGCAGGTATCCAATTTTGTCGATCTTGGTATCACAATGGATTCCAAACTCAATTTCAACCATCATATTAATGTTACAGTCAATAAAGCCAAAGGCGTTTTTGCATTTGTAAGGCGATGGTCAAAAGAGTTCAAAGATCCTTATGTTACAAAAGCTCTTTTTACCAGTTTAGTTAGATCTATACTAGAATACGGATCTATTGTTTGGAATCCCCGCTACCAAGTTCATTCAGAAAGGATTGAATCAATTCAAAAACAATTCTTGCTTTTTGCATTGCGTAATTTTAACTGGGATTCAGATTACAATCTCCCCCCTTACACAAGTCGTCTAAAGCTCATAAATTTGCCTACACTCGCAAGTCGTAGAGAAATGCTGGGTATAATATTTATCGTAAAATTAATGGCAGGCTTGATTAACAGCCCGGCCCTCCTGGCTGAGGTAAATTTTAATGTTCCTTCTCGAGTGTCAAGACACTTTCGACCTCTATTTTTAAAGCCATGCAAAACTAATTTTGAACTAAACGAATCATTCCGTGGTTTATGTCAAGATTTTAACTGTCATTCCAGCACGTTTGACGTATCGGACTCGATTTTTACTATAAAGAAAACTATTATTTCCACTCTCAATAATTGAAATACTATCTTTAGCATATCCAATCAGCTGATGAATTTGATTCTGTAGCTGAATAGTTTTAGATCTCGACACTTAACAAACTCCTGTTTCCACTACTCGGCACGAAAAAACTAAAAAAAAAAAACGTTCCGTACGTCATGCGGACTGCGCCCCTCGTGTCGGTTGGGCGGGAATGGAGGGTAAAAAGCCGTTGGGATTAATTAATTAATTAATTAATATTTGGTGTTTGGGGGCCCGTTCCGCAACATTTTGGTTTTCACGGTATTCAATATGCATATTTATATGCTGCCTAGTGGCTCATTGAAGCATCGTAGCCTTCACCCTTCCATTTATTTGACTATTTCATCTCTTCCGCCAACGAATTTGTCTGCTTCGTCTCCTATTTTGCTTCAGCTTTCGGCATCCGCCGTCAGATAGCCGGCAAAATGTTGAGTTTGAGGCGTTGTAGGGACACACAATCGCGGTTTGGCATCCCAGCTGGCTATGTGTATATACATGTAGGTATATATGTATGTGTGTATGACTGATGAGTCTCAGGCAACCAGCCAGCCAACCAGCCAACCAGTCAGCCAACCAAGCAACCAACCAGCCGCTCACTCAGCCAGTCAGTGCTTCGTTGAACGGTGGTGCTGGTGTACAAAATATCGCACGCATAGACTCATCTGTGAATGCTTTGCATAAAAAAAAAACTCAGTTTGTGATTAATATAGTAATAAACTCATAGTTAGTTAAATTTTTAGATAAATTATAAACTAAGAACGGGATTGCAGCAGCGCCAGTTATCAGCTCAATAACAGCGCGCACCAAACATAAATCGAACATCTATACAAAATGTGTAATAAATTTTATTAAATTATTCCTTGTCTGCTTGTGGTGTTGTAATAGTGTCAAACTTTCCTCTCACACCTGTGATTTTCTTATTTGTCATATTGGCAAATTTTCATTTACTTCTTTTGCTTAGTTTATCATTATCTTTAATTTATGCTAATTTTTTTTTCTTTTTTTTCGGTCTACTTTCAGTTTCGGCTGCCAATAATACAATGCAATACGGACAAAATATATCCATACCATATTCACAGCCACAAACCGATTTGAATTTTCTCAACTCAGCGGACCATAAAGGAAAGATACATCCGAAGATTGAGCGTGACCGTGAAGAAGGTAAATTAATTAACATCTGAAAATTATATATACTACCTGTTAATATAGTTATACGAAGGTCTCTGTCTGTATATGTGTGTACCTATGGCTGTATGTATGCGTGTGAGAGCAAACAATGAACCAGGAACTTTATACAGCGAAAGGCAATAAAAATGTTAAGTATACATATGTATGTACGTACATAACTCTATGTGTACTTTTGTGCATACATATTTTTATGTACATAGGTATTATTAAAATATGGAAATTTCCTATCAAAACTGTTGCCGCATTTACAAAAAAAAAAAAAATTAAGTAAAACAGTAGTGGTGAGCTAAAAAGATCGTCACGGAAGTTTTTGTGATGCTGCAGAAGTGCTTCCCTCTCCCTCTTTCTCTCTCTCTCTCTCTCTCTCTCTTCCTATTTCCGCCTACACACAGTATACAGTAATCCAGATAGGCAAAACAAAAATTGTAAATATGCTTATTTGACAATTTATTTGAATGTATTGGTTGATATTTTATCACAGTTGTCGTTTTCTTTAACCCAAATGAAATCCAATTTCAATATTTTCTTATAGTGGAAAATATTTTCAAGACACATAAAATAAAACAACGAGAAAAACAAAATTCCTAGCAAATTAGGCTTGCAGCGTAAGCGATTATAGCCGGATGCAGTTCCTACATAAGTCATATCTGGTTCCAAACACAACTTTGAGTGAATAATGGTGGGCTGATTTTGGAAAATGGACCCATAAATTAGGGGGTAAAACAAGTATTACTTAGCTTAAAGGTAGAACTCTCTAATTTAAAAATATACCACTCTTATAGTGGAGACCTCCAAAGATTTTATGAAATATGTACCCAAAGTTATATATTGTGCAGATAAGCATGGCCGTTTTTCAATGGTATAAAACATAGCTGGGCACACCAACACAGTCTCATTTTGTCATGNGGTATAAAATGTATATACACATATTCTTAAATACATATTTATCAAAATATTCAGAATGACGAAATGAATTGGTTCAGTCGTGTCTGTTTGTAAACACGCTAACTCGAACAAAATTTAGATATTTTAACGAAAGTCGGTGCCGAAGTTGCCTTTGGTATAATTTAGGTTAGTATTAAATTTTGGTGAAATCTGTCTATAACCACGAACACCTCCCATATAGTAATCAACATTATTTTTGTCTTATTATTTTTTTTTTACGAATTTCGCTGTTAAAATTTACATTTCAAATATAGCAACAAACATTTGGGGTACTTTTGCACCAGTCATTGCCTATGGGTTAATGACAAAATAATCCTATACATGCACAATATTTCATGTATTAATTTTCAAATAAGCATATTGTCAATTGCTGGTTTACTGTATACTGTGCGCCTACATTAATATTGAGAGTGAACTATCAATATGTGCTACGCCGTGGCTTAGGATTAAAACTAAGGCAAAGGAAAACCAAAGACAAATGCTGAGGCTAAGACGAAGGCGAATACGTAGTCTAATATAAAGGCGAATACGAATACTAAGCCAAAGACTAATACAAATAGGATGACGAAGGCGAATACGAATACGGAGACGGATTACACGACGATTACTAAGGCGAAGACGAATACGAATACATCGAGGAATTCGAAGACAAATGTGAGAACGAATACGAATGAGCAGACGAATATTGAGACAAAGACAAGGAAAATGACTAAGGCTAATATACATACTGTTACGACTATCCTTGAATACTTGATGAATTTTCCAAAAATTTCTTGGGTTCGCATCACTGGATTGTCAAATAAACGCTCAAAATTACTAAATTACAGTACAATTAACTTTATTGTACAACAAACACTTTACAATACTTGTTAAAGCAATAACAACACCTTACAAAACTTGCTAACATAATTGATCTCTGTTTTTACAATTGAACTTGTTGCTTGCTCATTCGCAACTGAACTTGGTGCCGCTTCGCACTCATGGCAACTCTAGATCGTTTTTAGATCTATCGCACATTCGCTCATTCTCTTGCTATTCAGACACACTTGCTGTCGCAAATTCTGCAAGCCTCTCTAAAGGGACCATCCTCATTTTTATTTTCGGTATCCCAATGGTCTGGATTCGATACACTACGTCATTGAGCCGTTTGACAACCTAATTCGGCCTTCCCATTTTTGGTTTGGAGACAAACCTTTCTTCCGTAGAGGATTGTGCAGCCTTATCATACCTGGCCTTCATCTTGTCACTCATAATTTGAGTACGCTGTCTCACGACAGCATGTATCTCTCTCAGTTCCTCTTCCAGGATGTTGGACGCCTCTTTTTCAATTCTAACTTCAAACTTCAGTTTACTAGGCAAACGGAGTTCACGGCCGAAGATTACCTTTGCAGGAGTTGTAACCGTTGTGTCATGCACTGCCAGAGTATGTGCACATCCCAATCTTTCTGATTCTCCGCTACGACTTTCTCCAAGTGCTCTTCCAGGGTTCGGTTAAAGCGTTACCCCATGACTTCTGATTGGCATGTATCTGGCACATCTCTTGGAACACCGCCTAGTCAAAATTTCTTTTCTGGTCAGAGCGCAGCTCTAGGTACACCATGTATCGCAACCAAATTGTAGGTGAATTTCTCCGATAATGTTTTAGCATCCTGGCTTGGAACCGAGTATACCTCCGGCTATTTGCTAAAGTAGTCCATAACCACAAGAACGTATTTGTTATCCAGTTTGCTCGTTAGAAATGGACCGGCTACATCCATGGAAATCCACTCGAGTGGTGCACCCGAGTTACACTGCTTCATCTTGCCATGAATTCTGGATTTCGGCACTTTAGCAATACACTCCGCTCAGTTAGCAATCCACTCTGTTACCGATTGCCGACAACCAACGCCTCCACTGGGACCATTGTAGAATTCCTTGAGTACATTCGGAGCTCTTAAGCTATTCCATTGTTCTCAGTATGCCATTACGATTGGGCTCTCCGCTGCCATTTGCTCCTTACTTGGCCGTCTCTCCCTATCCAGCTCATGCATCAAAAGCCACATGATCGTCGGGGCATTGCTTGAGCATTTCCGTGAATACTTCCCTTGCGGTGCTCAATAGCGAAGTCATAGCTCTGCAGTCTCTCTCTATCCAACGGGCTAGCTGTATTTCTGAATGCTTGAACTGTAATAGTCACTTTAGCGCAGCATCATCCGTCCGAACTGGGAAACATTGCCCATAGAGGTCATTGTGGGAATGTTTGACGCACTCCAGCAAAGCTAGTACTTCTCTCCGAGTTACGCAGTAGTTTCTCTCGAGAATTGTAACAGCCAAGGCTCCTTAATACAGCGTGACAGTCCAAAAAAATTGTGATCTTTGTTCTCGGTCAATATGTGGTCAAATTTATTCTACAAGCATATCGCGCCGAAAAAATCTTCAAATTAACAAAACATTTTCATTGGAAATAATTCGTAAAAGGCGGGCACAACCCATTGTTGGGGGAGTTTTTTTAAAGATTCAGATTTGTACAGCGAGTCGCTACGTCAAGGCTGACACTCACTTCCAGCCGCATCCGCTGGTGAACAGACGCTGATAACTTCAGTCAGGCCTTAAACCAATAATGTTCAACACCTCACAGTTAAACATCATCATCGACTTTTTCAAAATCATGCATAAATATAAGATGTGATTTATAAAGTAGACGTTGTATTTAACCTATGCTTTTGTCTCCGGTTGGTGGTGGTAAACGGACATAGAACAGACCCTAATTGGAAGTAGTCTTACCAAAGCTATCTCTCTCTCTTTCTGCCATGACCCAAGGCATCTCACGGCTCTCACGCCTCTCAGGGTTACAGAATCTAACGGTTTACAGAATCTCCTCCCAGGTTAGGTATGAAGGGCCATTACACCTCATTACACCATATGATCTGCTATATTTTTATTTAATTATTCGTGGAATCAATTAACCCCAAGGCTGCCTGTATATAAAAATTTGTTTTAAAATAAATACTGCATTGCAACTTATTGATAAAAAAATTAACAACTATGTATTAATATATGCACGTATTTTGGGAACAATTTCTTTGAATACCCGAAACTTTTGCTGCCGAATAAGTGTGTATGTGTGAGTCTTCAAGGATACACATAATCATTATTCATTTATTTTTAACCGGTACCTTATGCCTGCCTGCGTGGTTGGCTGTTAGTTAGCAAAAATGGTTAACGATTTTACTGTCACATGTCCGCCCAACAACCGTGCGCTGCGTAACCTACGGAACCTATGTACATAAATAATTATGTACAATGGGTTTACCAAAATTTTCTACATGACCACCGAGTAGGCAGTCGATAAATCGCCCGTCAGAGACATTACTGCCGCCTTCGTCTCAGTCTCAGACGTGTCCGTAATCCATTAAACGAGCGTGTAGACATTGTCAAACCTACATACATACATACATACATACATACATCGTTTGGGTCAGTTTTTTGATGCCTACGGCTTTTTTATAGCGCCTGCAAGATGGAGACGGATGCTATTAAGAGTAGGTTTTGCTATTAGTATGCAAATGCGGCTGTCGTTGCGTCGCTTAATTATTTTACACATGATTTCATACTACATTTTTGTGTCTACATAACTATATAGTGCATACATAAATAGTATACATGCATATATACATATATATGTATGTACATATCTACTTACATTTAATTACTTTTAGTCACCTACTCCAGTTCATTATGAGTATATGTATACCCAATTGGGTGCGTTGGTATGCGTAATTTTGACACATTTTATAGCAGTTAATATAAATTCGCAGTTCACCCTGATGCTAATTTATGTCTGGACTTGGGTAAAATATTTTGTCTGTTCTTGTATCCTAACGTTTTTTAATGTTTTTTTTTTGTCTCTACAGCATTTAAACTTCCTTAAAATTCCATACACGTATGTAGGTAACTGTGTAAGTATGTACATTAGACAGTAACGGAAAATAAGTTCGTCAGGTAACGTCACGTCAGATCGTTCAGCTGATTAAACAAAAATTATTTCTGCATTTGAAAGCTTGGAAAGTTAACAGTCTTGCCCAATTCGCAATTTGGTAACCCAAGCCAAAATTCACTTCTGTTCTTTTGTAACGTCACGCCATTGCATATGTTTACCTATCTCTTTAAATCGCTACTACCAACAGTTGTAAATTTTTTTGGCTGAATAAGAGGCCATTTAATTGCTATGTAAATCTAGAAAAACCTTTTCAAAATTTTGGCGTTTTCAATTTTTTTCTTTTAGATTTTGTCATATTTTTCCGATATTTAAGTATGTATAGAATATTTGCCCCAAAATGTTTTATTCCATCTGTGGTGTCAAATTGCTTTAATTTGAATCTTTGCACATTTGTACGTATGCATAGCTACTTTGTCTTCTTCAAGGTTTTTTAAGTATTAAAATGCCACTTATACGTATTCTCCACATGGTATACACTCGCACACACACACACATATGCGCGTAGTTTATAACTGCCGCAAATGTCCTTGGCGAAAAATCATCGTTGTGTCAAATCAATCTCGGATACCAGCAGTCTGGGTTGCCTTTTTGTGCGCATACACGTGTACAGATTAAACTACAGTGGGTGATTTTGTCCCTACCCACCGTTTTGTTGTTGGGGTAGGTTGCCGAAAAGTTTTGGGAAACATTTTTATATTTCTTTCTCACTTTGTGTTAGTGTTTTTTTTTTTATTATGCTAATGTGGAATGAGATGTGGAAGAAGACCTGTATGTACTACATACGCAAATATTTTTACCATATATATCATTTATGAATACATAGTTAAGGTTCCCAGACTCCTCAAATTATATAGTGCACCTCGCGATGGAATTTTTTTTTCTTTGATGAACATATGCAATTCTTAAGAAGGAATATTATAAATGAGAATTCGCTTATAAACGCATGAGGTCCAGTTAGCAGTAAAAAAGGTGATGCACATATTTAAAAATTACAATTATTTCACTAAGTTTATTTTAATAAAATGCATGCGTACATTAGACTAGTTTGAATGCATACTTTCAGAGGATTTTGGACCGATCCTAAGTTTGTTTGATTACTTGCCAGAGATGGGGTAGTGTACTAAATTTGCAGTTTACACTAGTAGCTAGTGGCAGTGCAAGATATTTCACTACTACTTTTGATTTCTAGTGGTGAATTGCAAAATATATCAGCCTCATCATAAAATAGTGATAGTGAAATACAACAATTTTTCACTAAAATTAACAATCGAATAATTAAAAAAAATTCTTCAGCCTAATGAAAATTTTTTTCTTCACTAAAATTGATAGTTAAACAAATCCAACACAAATTTTTGTGGAACTTTTCATTAAATTAGAAGACGGAGGTAACAGTTTATAGCATAGTTTTATTTTTTGCTAAAGCATTTAAATTTTTTGCGTTATCAATACACCTTTCAAATATGAGCCAAGTTTGAATATTTTTTTTTTAATGACTCAACTTCAGGCACACCTGGTAGTGAAAATATTTTTATTTGCAGCTTAGGTATATTGACTGTTTCAGTATTGCATTATTTTAGTTTGGAGCGAGTTTATTCACTACCACTTAATTTAGTTATAGTGAAACAAAATAGCACTATTACTAACGCTTTTAGCGGTAGTGCAGAAATGTTCCACTATCACTAAGCTGGTGACAAATGGTGAAAAATATAATTTCTTCCAATAGATATATTTACTGCTAGTGAAATGACTAGTGTATTCAAAATTTAGTGCACTACCCCCAACTCTGTTACTTGCCAGCCTAAATTATTAGCTTGCCATGGCGTATGAGTAACGCTTGTATCGAAGTAGTATAAATTTATCAGTCAATGATACAAAACGATATACATAGGTATGTACTAGGAATTTTAATCCCGGAATTCCGGGATCTTGGCAAATAATCCCGTGATATTCGGAATTTGTAATTTGCACTGATGGCAAAGGAGTTTCTATTCCTTTTCTTGGCCAGTATTGGCTATACCAACTAAATGTACTCGTTTTAAAACCCAACCGTATTTTGTAGACACTTCAAATTGTCGTTATTCAAGTTTATTGAATTTTTATCATTTTTGAACAAAGTTAGAAATTTGGATTTACATGGCTTTTGTTAGACCGCATAATTTTGTGGGGCGGGTTCCTTTATTGTATTGAAAAACTGCTTCTAAAATAACTAATACTGTGAGAACAGATAAGATATTCTTTCACACGGCGCACAGTGGGGTTGAAATCCAAAAGGTGCGGCCAAAGTTGGAGAAAAAAAGTTTCAATATAGGGCTTTTTCATCATGGAGTTGGCTAAAGGGATCCTCCAAGAAGCGAAACCGGAAAACTGATATCAAGAATTAATGGCAATTATTTATAACTTGAATCTAAGGTCTTAAAATAGTTAAAAAGTTGTATACATACTTACATTCAGTGACTCAAACAAGTCACCACGTACTGATTTTTTTTTTAATATTCGTAAAGTTTTTCGAGTTAAATTTTCTGGTCATTTTTCTATAAAAATATTGTCCAATCTTTAACCAAAACCATAGAAATCACAGTTTCAAATTTTAAAAAACATTTAAGAAAATTCAAAAAATTTTCATAAAAATTTCAACTTTAATATCTGAATCCTTAGAACGTTTTTGGGTATGCAGTCTTATAGCCCATACAATTTCGGTCTAGTGAAGTGCAATTTTCCAACGGCTTAAAAATCCCGTTGATTTTTGAGAAGATTTTTTTTTTTGGTGACGGATTTTTGCAATTTTTTCATATAAGCAGGATTTTTTTATAAAATAAAATGCGCCAGTTCTTGTAAATTGCACTTGTTATATACAAAAGAAAAACCACACATGAAGTACCAAAAAAAAAAAAAATTTCAGAATTCAAAGCAATTTTTAAACCGGTTGAAACTTGCACTGCAATATTATATAGGCTATAGAACTGCATACCCAAATTTTTCTAAATATTCAGATTAAAAAGTTGAAATTTCGATGAAAATTTGTTGAACTTTCCTATATTTTTTATAAAAATAACAAAAAACAATTAGCCCGAAAAACATTACGAATACTTAAAAAATCAACACGTGGTCGCTTGTTTGAGTCACTGTATATTTATGTACTTTCATTTAATAGGGATGCTTACTAAAACTTCATTTCCTACTTATAACAAATTTAAGAACATAAGTAACATAACATAACATAAATTTAGTACATAGCCTTTAATCAATCCCATAACTGACTATTTATCCTCTACGTAAATTGTATACTTTCAGTTCTGAATCAACAAATATTACAAAATGTCAATCAGTCATGGCAAACATTGGCCAATACTGCCAACACCGTTGACTACTCATCGCATTTGCTCTCAGCAACACTGCCAATCTCAATACAGCACTTCCTCAAATATTCCGAAACAATAAAAAAGGAATCCTCAGGTATTGTCGGCTCACAAATCAACTCAGGGAATTTGAATTTGGGCAATTTGGATACGTCACCATCGGGTTTTAAGGGTGACGTCCTCAAGAATGGCACCAATTTAAGTCTTGCACTTGGCGGCGTCTCACTCGCCCCACCGTCCAATCAACAGGCAAACGGCGCCACCCATCACAATGGCGGTATTGTTGGCATGGATCATGGCGGTCATATGACCAATATGACAGATGCCACCAATAATGGTACATCACTACATCCGGGCATAAATGGTAATGCCCAAAATGCAAATGTTAATGGACAAGCCCAGAATGTGCAACCCGCCAGCGCTAATGTTACGGTCACGAATGGTAATGCTGTAACAAGCAGTGCACCGACTGGCGCCACGACTACCTCAACCGGTGGTACTACTACGACCACTGGCAAAAAGACCAGAAAGAAGAAGCCACCAAAGGAGAAGAAGCCACGCCCTAAACCGGGTGAGATTCGTGAGATCAAAGCATTGGATGGCTCTACGCTATATTGTTGCCCCGAATGTCAGATGGCCTATCCGGATCGTAGTCTAATCGAACAGCATGTCATCTCGCATGCAGTGGAACGACGATTCGTTTGCGATATCTGTAATGCGGCTTTGAAGCGTAAGGATCATTTGACTCGTCACAAATTGTCACACATACCGGATCGACCACATGTGTGCAATGTAAGTTCGACTGAAGCAAAGCGCTAAGCAAATGTATAGCATTAAGAGTAACTTTTTCAATTTTTTTTTTTTTACAGATTTGCATGAAATCATTCAAGCGCAAGGAGCAATTAACATTGCATATTGTCATACATTCCGGCGAGAAGAAGCATGTTTGCGTCGAGTGTGGAAAAGGTAAGTGGACAGTTGAATTTCGGTATAAATATGGTGGTTTGAGAAACTTCCAACGTAATTTAACTTTCAATAACTTTTGGAGAACCTTTCAATTTCCATCAAAAATACATATGTATACAGGGTGTTCTAGACCACGTCCCGCACTAAAATGGCGGGAGATGTTTTTTAATTGAGAAACGCAAAAGTATGACTTATCAAATCGGGGATTCTCTATCTTTTGGAGGTATTGTCGATTTCCGGTTTCCACCGAAAGTTGGTTAAACTGGCCGGTAGTCTAATTTTTTTATTAGACATACTTGTTTTTACTACAATTTCGCATTCTGATGATAAAAATACGTAACTTTTATTTGAAACCTTTTTCTTCGAACTGCATTTTTCAACCTCTAAATGACCTTCAAACTTCAACACGTCCTGAACATCTAAAATAGACGAAAACGTTTTTATTGGAAAAAGAAAAAAATGTAAATCACCATTCCGGTTTCGCTCGGATGAGGGTTAAGCTGACCGGAAGTTCATTTTTTTTTTTAAATAGGACATACTTACATGTTTTTACCATAGATTCGGATTCTGCGGACAAAAATACATAAATTTTGTCGGAAACTTTTTTATGGAATGGACTTCCGGTTAAAATAATGCACTTTCGGTCTGTTTAACCCACTTCCATTGGAAACCGGATATCGGTAATACGACCAAATTATTTATATTTTTTCGTTTTCCAATACAAACATTTTCAGTTAGAGGTTGAAAAAGGCACTCCCGAGAAAAAATTTTCACACAAACAAAAGTTATATATTTTTATCCTCGAAATCTGAGTCTGTAGTAAAAACAGGTACGGCTAATTTAAAAAAATTTACTTTAAAATCGAAGTTAGTGGTGTCACCAAAAAATAGCGCATCGCCGATTCGGTATGTCATACTTTTGCGTTTAAAAAAAAAAACTTGTCCTCCATTTTAGAGGAGGTGGGCCAGGACACTCTGTACTATATATCGTTCATTCCGATACGTGGACTTAAACACGAATTATGAAATTTCAAAATTGAAACAATTTTTTCCTATGTTATTTATATGGAAAATAGAAATTCGCGATGAGCGGGATTAAATAAAAAGATAGTCGATTTTTTTCGAACCAGTCTAATGTACAAATTGATCCCTAATTGCAAAAATAACTTGAGTGAAATTTTTTTTTCAAATTTTTCCTTTTAATACAGAAATGCTCTTAGAATATGTAGAAATTTTGGAAACAATTCGTTTCCGCAACTTTTGCGGTTAGAGCCTCGATATGCATGTTTTCGAAATAGATTTTTCGTTGATTTTTTATTTTTTATTTCTAATTTAGGTGTGTATGTACTTTAATGAACTCAATTTTGACTGTCCCGATCATATGGAAGAGGAATTTTTTTTTTAAGAAAAAAATGCTAGTAATATTTTTTGTCAACTTGCCAAATTTTTATATTTCCAGGTTTCTACCGCAAAGATCATTTGCGCAAGCACACACGCTCGCACATTGCACGTCGCGTCAAGTCCGAAGTGTCGGCGCAGAATGTCAATGCCGGCAGCGGTAGCGGTAACAATGGCCAGAATAATACGATACAAGGTTCCTGAGGTTCGTACAAGGACTTTTGGTAAATTTTCAAAGAAACTTCGCACCCATGAACTGCGTTATATTGAAGTCATCAACTGGCATGCGCGCACCTACATACATACATACATACATACTCGTATCAAAGGTGTATCGCATATTAGTTGGTGGCGTCAATGTCTACGCAGTTTGAAGTTTCTCTGAATGTTTACCAAATGTCCTGCTGAGCCTTAAACAACGATGGTAGGAGGAGGAGGAGGAGGTGAAATACAAAATCTGACGGTAGAAAAAAGTGGCAGAAATTAGATTCTTTCATACATCTAATTGGAATACTTTTTTCTTTGGAAAGTTTTGCAATATGGAAGCCGGTGAGATTGAATAGAGTTAAGATTGATGGTTTAGAGCAAATCGCACAAAATTACACGAAAGAAAAGAAAAAAAGCATTCCGTCTGCAAGTGAACGCAGATAATAATAACAACAACAACAACAACAACTAGTAATAACTGAAACCGTTTAATAGCAATTTTGATGTACAAAATATTTATTTAAAATATGTATGAAGTTAGGAAAAAGAAAAAAAAAAAAAACAAAATCACGAAAATGAACACAAGCATACATATGTACATAATTATTTATATGTATATTTATGCCGATGAAATTATAGAAAATATGTACTTAATTGTGTCACAAATAACACGAACAACAACTCATTTGGAAAAGAACGCGCAAACAATTGTAGGCGGATTTCCGCGCATTTATGTACATAGATACATACATACATACATACATATGTACATATGCATACTTGCACACATACACACACACATTGTATGTATGTATGTGCGAGCATTATTTAAAGAAGCGAAAAGCTAAAATAATTTAATAGTTTTGTATTTAAATTATTTTAGAGGATCTGTGATCTTTTCTGGGTAAAAAAAAAAAATTCAAACAACAAGGCAAATAGCTACGCAAAATGTGAGAGAGAGTGCGCTAAAAAAGGTGTATAGGTTAAAGGAAAAAAAATTATTATGAAAAACTGATAGAAAGAAAATAGCAAAGATGTATAAGTACGTATATACATTTTTATTAGGGTGGTCCTGAAAAATATCAACATTATGGGCAACGCCTTTATTTTGTTCTACGTAAAAAAAATCCACGAAAATTTAAAAATTAAAAAAAAAAATTAGGGGTCGCGAGCAGGGTTTGAAAAAGTCTAATTTTTTTAAGCGCAAAAATTTAACAAAATGTTTACTTTAAGCGAGTTTATGACTCCATACGAATAAGTTTCAATAATAAGTGAAATTTTTGACGATTGTCAGTCAAAATTTTTTCAATCCTAGTAGCGTCGTTAAAATTTTTTTTAATTTTTAAATTTTAAAAATTTTTTAGATTTATATGTTAATATTTTTAAGGACCACCCTAATATGTATGCATAAGCATACAGCCTAAACATAAATATAAAGTAAAACTGAGGCAAAAACTTTGTTTTTGTTAATGTGTAGCAAACTTGTAAAAAAAGTATAATGTGCAATTTTTTAACTATAATTTACTATATTTTCTACTAATTTTTACACTTCACATTTTGTTAGATTTTTTTATCTGCATTTCTTTTACGTTTTTTTTTTTTGTTATCAAACAAAATATTAAATATTAATGTTAAGTAAAGTTCAGCGCGAATTTAGTGTAAGCGCTGAAAATACACATACATACATATATATAGAACCAAATATGTATGTACATATATATATTAAGAGATACGCAAATACTAGATTTAAGTTATAAAAAAAACACTGAAGTAATTGAGTTACATTTTTGTAGAAATGCTAAGACTACACTTACATATATTGTAAAATTATTATTGTATGCATACAAACATGCAACAAAAATAAAAATATTGATATTTTAAGGTTTAACTGCATACGCATAAAAATGTTAATTTAAGTATGAAATTAATATAAACATTTACATCACAGCAAGACAAAAAAAAAAACAACATTCATGAATGAACTACATACAACAAAATCTAAACCAGAGATGCCATGTACAATTTTGAGTGGAGCGAATCAAACAGAAGTCCTGCAAATAAAATACAAATAGAATCGAAGATATACACACTATACATAACCAGCTCATTGCACACTATGTATATGCATTTGTACGCAAAAATCCACAACTCTAAAATTTCATGTGCATGATAAAGTAACTACGCATTAAACTGACAATCTCCGCACAAAATCTCTAAAATTGACTCATCACACTATCACTCCCTTTAATTTTTTTTTTTATTGACAACACAAAATTCGCTCATAACTAAAAATTTTGGGCCTTAAGCGAAAAAGTCTACTCGCGGCTAAACCTCTAAGCTTTTTAATCATATGCGTCCTTCAAAATTTCTCAATCTTTTACACAGCAGTATTGTTTTAAAGTAAAAAAACTCAGCGACCCAGAATAATAATTATTTTGTAAGAATTTTAAAAGTATTTTGATAGTTAATAATTATGAGTGAGGAGCATTTTTAAAGTCATCGATAACTATTATTTTGAGTTTTAAATTATAAAAGTTATTTCATAATAATTATGAGTGTTCGGGACAATTTCAGGACTAGTTCAGGTCCTATTTCGGCATCAGTTCAGTACTTTCTAACGATACCTTAAGTATTTTATTCGATTGTTTTAAAAATGACATGCATTTTAAATTGTCTCCTCCCTAGGCCTCAAATTTACTGTCACTTAAAAGACATGTATAGAAAAAAATTTCATTTCCTACGTGTAGTTTTGTAGATTTTGAATTTTACGCGAAAACACAAATTTGCATCAAAAACTGCATTTATTACGTTATTACGTACATATGTATATAAAAACATTCTTTTTCGCGGCTTTTGTGTATGTGATATAGTGAAAAAACCACAATGTATCCCCAGCAGTAGTCAGCCACCATACGATGGTCACATCGACCTTGGAGCCCCGCTATCCATGTCAAACCGGTTCTGGTGAAACCGCTCTCCTTGTTCATCCCACTAAGATCCAAGATTCTCTGGCGATATTATATCCTAGAGTTTTAAAGCTCTCCAAAATTTTGTTTACAATTTTGGATTAGTTATTTGGCTTAAACTCGTATTTTCTCAGAACATTTTTAGTAATTTTATTTAAAAACACAAAGCTCACACAGAACGTTCCGAATCGTTCATTAAACTCAAGAAATCAGAATCCTTTATTAAGGTTCATATCTGAGGGCCATCGAGAATTCTTTCTTGCTTATATTTATATTTTTCTGCGCTTAGACCCGGAAATTGTCTCATTTCCTATTTTTGGCTAACATCTTATCTAATTTTTTCATAAGGGTCAGTTTTGTATGCAAGTAGGGCAATATATTTTTATCTGTTGAAACTAAAAGTAGATTTACGACATTCTGCAAATCCGTTTTGTGAATAAGGTCCTGCATATCTCAACAAAATAGAATATAATTTTCTGAAGAAAAAAGTTTTAGCAGGCCTTGCTCTCTTGTACGATATTTAGAACATCACTTTTGTACTTGACGCCAACAAGTGTCTTCTTTCAATCTAGAAGCCATTACTTCTATAGATTATTCAAATAGTTATATGCCCCTTATCAATGCATTAAATTCTTCTTGGGTAACATGTTTTGGCTGTGTAGAGGTTATTTCTTTGAAATTACGGTCACTGCACACCTCCTTGAAGATTTCTTCGAATGATGTGGCACTCCGAACCACATATGGCTTCTTTGACCACTGACTCACTGTTTCAAATGCTCACAGCACAGTTTGCAAACAGTTTATGCTATCCAAGGTCTGTATTCCAAAAGTTTGGATTTGAAGTAGGAAAAAAAGATGTTTTTATGAAATCGATTATAGGTTTTAGAAACCTTTTAACCAAGGCGAATTAATATAAGGTGGTGTTACTAGCTCAGCTGATTTTGTGTATGTGTTTCGCCGCACGGCTTCTGATATCAAATTGAAAAATTTTGTTTGAATTTCTACACACACTCTTACAGATTTTGACAGTTTATGCCGCCAAAGCAAAAACAAAATATATGTAAATTTTTGTTTTTGTACTCCTGCTATCACCTTATATTAATTCGCCTTGCTTTTAACTGTGTATTCACCATAAATGTAACAAAATACCTTTGGCTCATTAAGACAACTTCTGTGCGGTGAAGGCATGACATTAAAATCTTTTTGTATGTTTATAGAAACGTATCGATAAGTCTCCAAAAGGCACCACCAAAAGTATTGATTACAGCCAATATATAAAACTACACGTAGGAAAATAAAAGTATTGTTAGTATTGTCAACGCACACCAAAATATTTTCTTCAAATTATTGATCTGATACTTCGCTTTTGAAAAAAGCTCTTTGTTCAGTGGCGTTCGATAGTTAACTTGATTTACTTTTACTGAAACCCGAACGAGAGTTGTTAGCTCGTCACCATGAAAATGGCCACAAGTAAATCGTAAGGGTTTTTGTTCGTTTGCAAATCTCTATCAAAGCTCTATGACGTTTGATAACTTTCATGTAATTCATTACAAGCTTGCAAGGAGTAAAAGGCTATTTTAACATATACACAATTTGCTACTTTTTTGCTAGGTTTTTATGTTTCAATCGCAAACCTTCCCATTACATACACACATACATACACCTTTTGCAATTTATTGGCAATACTTAGGCGTAAATCGCTTGCAAATCAACAAAAAAAAAATGTACAAAACACACACGCAACTACTACCACAAGCATTTTAGTTTTCAGCATCATAAACAAACAAGCTGAGGTAACGGCATCCAATCTGACAATGTGACTCAATGTATTTCGCTATTCATCAAATAAAATGCATTTAGACATGCCAACTACTTGTATTATTTCGTGAAAGTATGTATTAGCTAAGTGGTTACAGCAACAAATGAAAGTACATGCATGCATATGTAAGTATTAATAAAAAAAAAACGTTGCAGTTAAACACAATAAAGTATGTACATGCGTGCAATAAAATAGTTTAAAAAAATAGTTACAAATGTGCAACAAAAAAAAAACCAACAATACAAGCATCCCCATTACAACCATTTACATAAGTATGTGCTATATATAAATACACACATCGTAAATAAATAAATAAGCATTGAACGAATAAACAATAAACAACAAATACAAGATACAATACTTAAAAAAAATACAAATTTTGCAGTAAACATATAGTTCAATTCAAGTTCATACAACTAAGAAAAAAGAACAAACAATAACAAAAAATACATACATACATATACAGAAATCTATTTTTTGTAAGTTAGCAAACTAAGCGAAATAAAAAAGCAAACATCAGAAAATAATTAAAATTAAATAAAAAACAAAAGCATTTAAAGCATCACCAAAACTACGGAGATTATTTTTCTACTCACTACTAAATACATACAAATAAACAAGTACTCGTACATAGAAAAAATGCATTTGTTCGAAATATTAAAAAAAAATATATATACAGAAACAAACTATATACATACATATGTAAATATGTATTAACAATGCGGGCTTTCACGAAATTCAAGCACATGGCATACGAATGCGGATAGACATATGTACTTGTACATAAGTCGAAAAAGAAATATGTATTCGCAGTGTTTCGAGTTTTTTGTATGCCTGATCCCCGTCAAACTAAATGCATAAATACATACATACATACATACATAGTAACGAAAATAGAATAAATACAACAAATGGCGAATCAAAGTTCAAACACTTATTTCAAGTGACTGCAAATATTTGTTCAAATTAACGGCATTTGACTCCGCACTCATAAATATTTCGTATGTATTATAGAAAGTACGTAAATTACTATTTAAATAGGTTAACAGTTTAAATCATCACCTAAGATGCATGCATACATACACATACGAGTACATATACATAGAGTTCATAGAAACATCGTCTAATTTCACACAAAGATGATCAATTCATATTAGTAGTCAGTAAAACCTTTATACAATCGCTATATGTATGTACATATAACCTGCATATAAAATCAAAAATTGCAATAACATAAAACATACAAAGATTTCAAAAAAAAAACAATATACATATATACACACACATGGTGCAATAGTTATTTCAATTTAATTTAATTTGAATTTTTCTTTCTTTTC